AGAGGGCAGTGTCACTGGCCCTCATATGTGGGATCCGAACCGGGGCCCTCTGGCATCCCAAGCCAGTTCTTAACCATCGCGCCACTCGGCCGGCCCCGTAAAAACCATTTAATCCAAACCAAGCTCTTTCTTTTATGGACGAGATGACCCAGAGGGTTTGAGGAACTTGACCGAGGCCACCTGGTTGGCTGGTGGAGGTCCTTTCTCTGAGCATGGGAAGCGTGCAGCTTCAGGATGTCACCTCCCAGAAGAGGGGTCTCCTGTTAGGAGAGCAGTGGGCGGCGCTGGGAGCTTCTGAGCTGTCCCCCTTGTGTTTGGGGCACTTGGAGCTGTTGAAATTGTCTGGCTCCGCATGTATTCTGAAGCCAAGAAAGGTGGAATACAAGTAAGCTGGACCGCGGGAGCGGATGGGGTGTTTATGGAAAAGCACGTAGAGGTAGGAGCAGGAGAGGTGGGTCCTTTGGAAATGAGGTAGGTAAAGGTAGTCAAGGTGCAGGCTGAGCTGAGGGGACGACAAGGAAAGAACACACATTTGTTGACTGTTTGCTCATTCTGTGCTGGACACTTTAAATATGGCCGTCAATGGACACCCCGCCCCACTACCAATACCCTATGGAGGAATAGTTTTTAATCCCCACTTATTGTTAAACCAAGCAATGATTAGAGGCCTTTCAAGACTCTGAAATTAGCAGGAGGAAGGTGGACTGCACTCGAAGTTACATGATTCCCCAAACTAGGTTCTTTCTAGTTAAGGAAACTCAAAGGTGAGGATGACGTCTGGATGACATGAACTCCCGGATCATGGCGGAAGTGTTCATAGCAGGGCTTCCGAGTCGTGGTGAAACATGCAGGTTTCTCAGAAATTTCCCAGGAGCATGAACTTAGAGGTGGTTTTGTACCTGGGATCTCAGCATGAGGCAGGTCAGGAGCTGGCGAGCTGGAGCGGGAGGAAGGGGCAGTGTGGTGGCCGTGGTCCCTTCATGCCTTGTTGCCTAAGACAAAATTGCCGTTTTACATTTCAATTAGGAGGGATACTGGGGTCAATCAGAAGTGCCACCTAGAGGAAAATGGGCCCAGCCCAGCCCTGGGCCTCTCCAACTATTTTTAATGAACTTACTCTCTGAGCTGCCAACCTTTTTATATGCAAACTAAGCCTTTATGGGGCCACTGGCAATCAGGACTCATTAGAGAACTCATAACAAGCCTCAGTGAGAATCTGACAGGGGAAGAGAGAGAGGATATGCTTCAGCCCATATCCTGGACTAGAATCAGTCCAGTCCCCAGGCGAGGTTCCAGCTCACCTTGGGAGGGTTTCCAAGCTCCCCAGCCCTGCTGATCTCAGGGTGATCTTTGTTGACCCACCACCCCATCCTGAGGTGGTCCCACCCATCTGTAGGAACTGCCTCTTTCATTAAGGGGAGGAAAGATAGTGGCTTGGCCCCTGACTTCCTTAGCTGCCGGCGCATCTGCTGACACTGAGCCACTATTTTGCCTGTTCCTGCCTCAGTTTCTCTTTTGCAAAGTAGAAGGGATCCATTGGGTTGGTTCAGAGGACTGTCAGATTCCACACACCATCCATGAGCAGCCACATTTTGCTTTAGGACCTGGAGGTGAGAGATCCCAGAACTGATGCTCTTACTCCAAATGCAGCCATGCACCCAGCTCCCCTCCATGCACAGGTAGATACAGCAGGAAGAAGGTCATACTCTGGGGGAGGGAGAGCTGCCCAGGGCCCAGGTGGAGCGAGGAGTGGAGTCAGGACTGGCCTTGACCCTCATCTGACAACTCCCCACTTTTCATAGATCTACTCTCCTAATTCTCCAGCATCACCCCCCCTCACCCCCCCAGCTTCAGTCCTGAGCATCATCCTTTTCACAGAATTGCTCTTGTCCTCTGTGTATCTGCATTCTCACTTTGCTGGAGTAGGGGTAGGGGGGATATCAGCTGAGACGGGCACAGGACGGACCTACTGAGACTCTCTCCCCATGTGGGCCTCGAAGTCTCCAGAGTCCCACTCACGCCAGAGCTTCAGGGCCACATGCTGGGTTCAGGTCTATCCTCACCCCTTCTCCCCTCCACTGCCTGCCTTCCTGCTGCTCCTCTTTAATTGTGGTAAAATACACATACCATAAAATGTACCCCCTTAGCCAATTTTAAATGTGCAGTTCAGCGTGCTGAGAAGTACGTCCACATTGTTGTGCAACCATCACCACCATCCATCTGCAGAACTTTTTCATCTTGCCCAACTGAAACTCTGTCCCCGTTAAAGATGAGTTCTTTATTTCCCCCTCCCCCAGAAACCGTTTCTGTCTCTATGAATCTGACTACTCTAGGTACCTCCTATGAGTGGAGTTATGTAATATTTATCCTATTGTGACTGGCTTATTTTGCTTAGCATAATGTTTTCAAGATTCATCCACGTTGTAGCATGTATTAAAAGTTCCTTCCTTTTTAAGATGGTATCCTATTCTATTGTTTGTATGTATCACACTTTGTCTATCCATTCAAGCATTGATGGTGACTTGGGTTGTTTCTACTCTTTGGCTATTGTGAATAATGCTGCTATGAGACTCCTATGAGTTTGAGTCCCTGCTTTCAGTTCTTTTGGGTACAAGCCCAGAAGTAGCATCGCTGGGTCTGCTGCTCTTCAGGATGAAGGTGTGGGGAGTCTGGAGGAAGGGGGGGGGCATTGGTTGAACAGCCCTGGGGCACTCGCTCCCCTGATGCAAAGCTCCAGGGTAATCAGGAAGGACAGATATGAAACCATCCCAAATCATGGCATCAGGACTGGTTAGAGCGAAATGGGTCCTTGGGCCCCATCCAATGGACAATTAAGGAAGTTGAGTTTCAAAGTGGGGATGTAATGAGCTCTATAGTTCATCATAATCTCAGCAGGCACTGGTGCTCAGAGGTCTTCTTACCCCAGCTTTCAAAGGTGGAGGGGCTCATGTTTGCTTCCAGACCCAGGAGGGACAGCTGCCAGTTGCCTGATTGCCTGGGACCCCTCCCATCTGCTGAACCCCACAGCCTCCTTTCTGCCTTACTCTGCTGAGCATGGGGGTCAGCAGCCTCTGCCGAGACTCAGCAGTGGGTCCCTGAGGCAGCATCCTCAGGAAGGATGTGTGTGCCATGCTTTCGATGGCCAACCTGGCCCGAATCCATGTCTTGGCATGCCCTACACAGTGCCATAGCGGGAGGAATCTGGGGGATGGTGGGCCTGCCTGACACGGGGTGCCCAGGCCCTGCTGGTGTTAACAGAAGGCTTCACTCTTGCCCATGCCAAGCAGCCCAGGATACTGACCCTCTTCTACCCTGCTCCCGAGAATCCAGCAACATGCCAGCTTCCACGTCTCAGCCGAGAAGAGCACCCCACTCCTTATTTGACCCCATTCTCCTCCCAGCCCTCCCTGGGCAGAGCTGACTGCCCCAGGGGAAAAGAGGCCCAGAGATTCGTTTGCTTCATCCCCAAAGGCCCACTGGACCCCACTTGGCTCCAGGATAAGCTTGGCCGTTGCTGGCATTTGGAAGGCGCTTGGGGTGTATCCGCTCTGAGGGGCATTTCCTTGGGGTCAGGCCATCCCCAGAGTTCAGCCAGAAGCTTCTGGATATAAAAGGTCTCTGGGCTCATTCCAGAACATTGCTAAATGCCAGTATCAGCCCATGTATGGAAGGCCCTGCTGGACCCTCGTGCTGTGATCCAGGCTCACCTTCCAGAACCTCAACCTGGGGCTCTGCCTCAATGCTGGCGGCTCATGGGGGCCCCTGTGTCCCAACTCTTGGCAGCCAGGAACTAAGGCAAAGGGGTCAGCAGCCTGAAGTAGGATGGGGCGCCCAGCCAGCAGTGTCTGTCTCTGCCAGGGTCGGAGGGGTGCTGAGAGGAGCCCACCAGGAGTGGCAGAGCCTGAAGTGCATTAAAATGCAACCTGAAGAGAGCAGGGGATGGCTTCAGGGAGAAGTGGCCTTGAGACAGTGACTCTGGGACTGGGGCTGTGTCAGTCCCATTCCCTCCCTCAGGTGGCTGGGGGTGAGCACCAGGGCCCAGGATGGCCCCTGGGTGTGTCCGTGGGAGGGCGGAGCTGGGGGAACATCTGGGTGAGGTCTGGGAAGGCTCCTATGGCCCTGGCCCCCTGCTCCCCAGCCTGAGCCATGCTCTCTGTCCCCAGGACTGCCCCCAGCTGCTGCGAGTGGACAAGATCCTGGTGCCAGTGGAGGTGATCAAGCCCATCACGCTGAAGGCCAAGAACCTGCCCCAGCCGCAGTCTGGGCAGCGTGGGTACGAATGTATTCTAAGCATCCAAGGCAGCGAGCAGCGGGTGCCGGCCCTGCGCTTCAACAGCTCCAGCGTGCAGTGCCAGAACACCTCCGTGAGTGCCCGCCCAGTGCCCCCCGGCACCCCCGCCCCTCCTCCGCCCCCATCGCTCTTCTTGTCCAGCGCCAGATCACCTCAACTCTGCAGGACTTCCCCAGCTCCCTGCCTAACTGCTCCCCACGCCCCGCTCTCCCAGCCCTGCCCCTTACACCCCCCTACGCTCCTCCCCCAGCAGAGGGTGGGCTGTGCTCTGAGGCCTCTTGGCCAAAGCGGGCTGTGGGGAGAGGGGCTTTGGGGCCATCCATGGGGCTGCTGCGTGGTGTTGGTGGGCAGGTGTATTTGCCAGGTGTGTCCATCCTCCTTCCTGAGAGAAACCCTGGAGGCCCTGGGCCCCGCCTTCCTACCAGAGCTGAGCTGAGTGCCTCATGTGAGCCCACAAGGTCCCCCCCCCATACCCCACACTGCCTTCACACCTACACAGAGGTCATTTCCCAGGACAGGAGGCTTCTGAGGCAGACCACGCACCTGCAAAGGGAGCTGGCGGCACGAGTGTCCTGCTCAGATCAGCACAAACCCTGCCCAGTGTTGAGAAAATTCATGTTAGGTCCATGCTCGGGCTGTCACCTGATTCCTAGGTACACAGTGAGCCCTCTCGGTGCATCACCTCCGGCCTGCCCTGTGGCCTTCCGTCACTTCTCTGTGCACCCTCACTCTCTTCCTGGGTTACGTCTATGCTCCCAGATGCTCAGAGGCAAACGTTATACTTAAAGCCTTGTAACATTTTAAAGCTCTAAGAATCTTTCATATTCTTCTTCAGTGTACAAAAAAAAAAAAAACTGGAGGCCAAGAAGCACGGGTACATCTAGGTTTGTAGGGCTGAGGGTTATACAATTTGGGGGGCCTCTCTAAGAGTTTAATAAATACAAAAGTAGATATGCAGGCAGCCCTTCGAAGGGGCTGCAGCTTCGTGTGCCTTGGGGTACTTGCACCTACTCAGAGGGTAAGTGACGTGCCTAAGGTCACACAGCTAGTGAGTGGCAGGGCCAGGCCTGGATCTGGGGTCTTCTCCTGTGTCACACTGCCTCTCATTCATCCTTCTCGTTGCTCCTGGGTACATATATGCGGTGACTATATTTGGGGATGTGATGTAAGACCAGGAGGGTCCCAAACAAAGCCCTTCCTGGGAGAAGTCCACTCTTCCACAGGAAATAGGTTAGGGCCAGTGGAGCTCAGAGAGGCCCACACGCTTGCCCAAGTTTGCTCAGCATCACGGGGACTGAACTGACAATCTCCCTACCTTTGAACCCCTGGATGTGTACACACAGCTCCCCTGGCACCCAGGCTCTTTCGCGGGTTTCTGCAGCGCTCTGGATTAAAGCTGCAAGCAAAAGGGAGAGTAAACACCTCCTGTTTCCTCTACATCCTGAGGCCAAGCAGACCATCCCCAAGTGGTTCTCCCCGAAATAAGCAAGTCCCTGTGGGAAGAGAGAACCTGAGCTTCACATTTGACCCAGCAGAAGGCAGCTGGGGGTTCAGACCACGGAGGGAACAGCCCCGGTTCCTCAGAGACGCTGCCCCGGGAATCCAGGGCCCTGAGGTGTCAGGCGGGAGGACAGAGAGCAGAGCCTGTGGCCTCCGATGATGAGACCTCAGTTCCCCAGATGCCACAAGCCTGGGCCTCGGGCTTCTGCTGCCTCCGTTAAATAGAAGACGGTACCCCAGATGGCGACCTGAGTGTGTCCTATAAACCCCTGGGTCTGTGCTTCCAAGAGGCTCGTTGGGACCGGTGCCTTTCTGTGTCCTTCAGACGTCCGCAGCGTTTCCTGAGCAGAAGCCTGACTCAATGAAGGAGCCCACTAGGGGTCCCAGGGAACTCCCTGAATCGGAGGTGGGGTGGTGGGCAAGATCAGAGCCTCCTGGAAACAAGGGGATAAACAGGAGCTCAGCAGCCCTGACAGGTGAGGTCTGGGCAGGCGAGGCCAGGGTACCTGGAGCTGGGCCCCTGGTCAGTACCAATGGGACAAGGAAAGGGAGTGCTGGGCTCATCACATCTTCTAATCAAAGCAAAAATTAGCAAGTGAGCACGTTATCCCACAGGCTTGGTGTAACCCGTGGGAGCAGAGCCTGATCCGCCTGAGACTGATTGTAGAAGAGTTACTGTTGCTTCACTGCCTAAGTGAGGTCTCTGGAATGGGGGCAGGACAGGAGAGGGACCTCACAGAGAAGCAGGTCACTTCCAGCCCACTTTTGGGGAACAGGCCCTGGGCCAATCCCTGCAGCCCTCAGGGGGCCTGTGGGAGAAGAACAGGGTAGCTCACAGGCAGCAGTTGGAGGGGGAACAACTGCGGGTATTCTTGGCCTCCTTTCGACCAAAGTTCTAGAGAAATGTCAAGTGCTATTAATAATAGTGCCCAGTACCCGCCTCTCCGTCGCTGGCAGGCACCAAGTAAGTGGGCCGCAGAGGACAGCCAGCTGGCTGTGGTGCCGGCCGAGGCCCCGGGGGCGCTGGCCCAGCTTGCACCGACCCACACTAGCCTCAAGTTTTCTCTTGGTGCCCCAATTTACCACGCTCAAAACAGGGATGGGGCCACCGATGGAGAAGTACCTTATCCCCCTTCCGGCTTTACTGGAACACAGCTGGGAAGGGGCCTGCTGAGCCCTCTGGAGTCCTGGAGGTGGACACACATAGGCGTCTTATGTTGTTCAGATGTGTTCGCCCAAACAGTAGAACTTACCAGCCAACTATCTCCGAGCTTGGGACAAGGGAATGGCTGGAGGAAAGGATGTCCAAATTATACAGAGGTCTTCTCTTTTGCTTCAGAAGGTAGAGAAACTGAGGTTCACACGTTCCCAATGTCATGGTCAACATCCCCCCACTAGCAGGGCCATGGTGTGGCAGACTTGATTGAGACAATTAACCTCCTGGCCCCTGGGAGCCTGAAACACTCTTCCTTCAGCTCTGGGCATCCTGCAGATTAACTGCTCACTGATTACAGAGAGCCATATAAATGCTAAGTGGCGCGGAGGGGGATGGGAGCGGTGGTCCAGGCTCTCCAGCTGTCTGCCCTCCCCCTCTCCCTTTGGGATCCAGGTCATGGGGGAGCCAGTGTGTCCAGGAAGGAGAGTGACTTCCCTGGAGATGGAGAGAGTGGGGGGGGAGGGGCAGCCGAGGTTAATGATTTCTATAATATTTCATAATCAAGTTCCCAGGAATGGGAAAGAGAGAGAGAAAGCAATACCCAGCACATTTGATCCTTAAAGTCTTTTTTTTAGTTTCAATTTTCTTCAAAAAGAAAATGTGTGCGCGCGCGCACACACACACACACACACACACACACACACACACACATACACAGACACACTCACACACATCTGAACACACAAGCGCTCTCATATGCATACACCTCCATATGTACCAAGTGTCTGGCACATAAAAACTCAATAGATGGCTGCTATTATTATTCCACATAAACATAAACACAATCAACACAAATATATTTTGCATAGCCTCCCTAAGTGTATATACACAGATTAAAATGCACAATAACATTTGAGCGCTTGTTCTAGGTGACAGGCATTGTACTTCTGCGCGTTGGATGGTTGTCTCAAAACCTCACAACGATGCTATGGGGAATGCACTGTTGATAATCCCCTTTACAAATGGGGACACTGGGACTTGGATCATTTGCTCACATCCACACAGCTGGTCACTGAACCATGCTGTGGCAGTATGTGTGTGTGCATACATGCGTGTATGAACTCAGAATACAGATGTGTGCACTGACCTCGAGTCAGCATGTGCGGACACATGTGTGCACACAGACACACCCGCACACATGCGGGATTTCTCGCCTTGCTCTCTGGGGGGTTTCAGGTCCTTCCTGAAAGGGCCCTGAGGTTCTATTGATCTTTGGTCCCCATGCCCCTGGTCACGACCTGCTACTTCCTCTTTGGGTTCTGGCCAGACCAGGGCTGAGCGGGCAGGAGGCCAGCGCTGCCTCACTGGGGCTGGAACAGCTAGCCCTGCCCGGAGCCTGGGACCGCACTCACCGCATGTCTCTGACTGGGGCCATGGAGGAGGAAAGCAGAGAGGATGCGAAGTGGAGCTCTCTGTCTCTCTGTCTCTCTGTCTCTCTCTCTCTCTCTCTCTCT